TCCTGCGCCGGTTGTCGATCGTAATAATCACCAACTATTTTTTGACTTTTTGCTTACTTAATTATTCTTTTTTTAATTTGTCTATTTTATGCCCTGCGGTCTCTAGTGAATCTAGCCAACGTCGCCAATTTCAGTGTCACACCAGAAGCTCGCCAAGCAGCAATTTTATCGATTCGAAGAAAAGTTGATGGGGTCGATTCGGCTCATCGTCGAATGGAAAGTCTGTTTGTGGAGACAGCTGCCTCAAGCCGTAGTCAATCTCTACACCGTCTCTCAATTGGGCAACAGTCACCATCAGAAGAATCACCACGTCAGTACTACCATGCGACTGGTACAGCTCGACGGCCATCAGGTCAAAGCCTGCCTCCCGCACAACCTGTGGGTAGTATACGTCTGAGTGATACTGAAAGTTACTTATAAAATAAATTCTACTTTGAAATTTCCGACATTAAGCTAAATTTTTCAAAATTACCTGAGTTTCTCTGTTGGATACTAATCCATAGATGTTAACATTGTTATTATTGTAAAAGAGTAAGCTCATCAATTAAGCGGGCATTTCATGGTTGAGCCTTGTATAATTCTGACTTTCCTGACGGGAACAAGAATACATTGCATACTTTTTCGATATTATATAGTTATAATAGATAGTAAAAAAGATTTCTTCAATTTTTTGTTGCATTTGACCATCAGATTTCCATGTTATTCCGGTTGCACTTTTGTTTTTCTTTTCTTTTCTATGCTTGTTCTCAATGTCAATGAAATGCCAATCAATAAATATGATTTCTTCATCATGCTCACATGGATATAGCAACGTGGGATTGCCCGCATACAACTGGCACTGCTAGTGAGTTCGAAAGACGGATAAATTTTTTGATCTCGTCTGCTTTACCATCGCAGATCAATAGGTAAACTAAGCAAATTTCAATTGAAAACTAAAAAACTTTTTTCTACAATGATTGGCCTTAGAATAAGCCATGTAGGTCAAGTACGCATCCAAACGGGCTCAAGGCACCGACTGGATGTCGAAGGCGTGGCTTATTCAGGGCTGACCTTTAAATGCCACGTGGGTGAAGTGATCTCCAGCTCTTTTTTATTCATACAAGCAGTGAATAAGGCTTCTCAGCTTCAGGACGCGCCAAGCATGATTCATCCATTCAGGATTACAAACTCATTGAAGTTTCCTAATTGAAGTCTGTATTCAGCATAAAAAGGTTCTGTACCCACTGAAAAATTGCTCTTTCATAATGCAAACATTAAAAATATTTATTAAACAATGAAAATTAACAACAAAAAGCAATGTATAATCTTTCGAGGAATTTTTGTAGAAAATTACAGGGACGAAAAGAAGTGTGCAGTGCGGAGATCTGGGAGTAACACCCAAGGATCTTGGGAGGTTTTCGTAGAATGCAACAGAATGAAAGGAAGAGGGAAGCTCGTGATTCTAAGATCAGTGACGATCGAGAAAGTCAGCTTCGGTCATATTGCTGTCAGAGATTTGTTGACGAAGAGTTTCTTGTTGCTTTCTATAGCGTTCCGAGACAATTTCCATATGAGAGGCTTCATTTTCGATGTAATGAGGTAGAAGATTCAGTTCGATTTCCCTTAATTCAATAGGGTAAGTTCCATTATTACGCTTTTCGATCACCGTGCTTTTTCGGTCCTGTAATTCGAGAAGGAAGGACAGACCTAAAATGAGGTCTATCCAGCGGTAACCGCCTCCAACACTGCAAGCATACATCGTAGATGAAATGTGGCATTTTGGGTTGTCGCTCAAAACGATGTCCATCTGCAAATAA